CCAATTTTTGCTCAGCGCTAAGAGATAAATCTTACTATTATGGCTGGAAAAAAAGAGCTGAAATGTTCGTTGATGCACGTGTGACAGCCTGTCCGATAGTGAGAATGTGACGTGGTTGTGTATGTCTAGGAGAAACGTGGAGTCGATTCTCATTTATTTAGAATGAGTGAAATAATGATAATTATAATTGTTATAATTATTTTATTATAATTATTTTTGACACCGTAATTAATTTTTATTTGTTTATTGTTCAATGGAGACGACAATTGAACAATTTTATAAAACAATCTAATAGCTTGAAAAGAAAGACATTTCCATGTGACTAAACTCGTAGAGTTTGTAGAACTCTTAAATACAGGATAAAATAAAACGTATCTAGCTAGTCAGAAAAATAAACATTTCACTATTAAAAAAAAATGGAAATAGAAAAGTATAGAATCATTTTGGTTTGACATAAGGAAATAAACACAAAAAGATAAAATAAAAATAAATAGGCTAAACGGTTATCATTCCTGAATGTAGGTGAAGAAAACGGATTTAAAAAAAAATTATAGTAAGGTTCACTCTTTACAAGGCCCGGGGGGGGCACTTGAGGTAGATGTTTACATTAGGAGACCATGTGTGTGCATAGGAGTGGAAAATAACGGTTAACCCTAGCCTTGATTAGGTTAAGATTGTAATGATGTTGTTGGTAGTCGGTTCCACAGGGCAGTAGTTCGCAGGAAGAAGCTGCTCGAGTGGAACTTACTTCCCACGGAGGAAATGTAGATGGTTTGTTACGATGTCGGTGGCTTGGTGTATTTTTTGCTGTGAAGGTTTGTCTTGGCGGGACCAGAGAACATAGTTCGTCCGAGCACTTTCCGTGGAAGTAACGATCAAGCAGCGAGAGGCTTGCCACATCCCGCCTGTGGGAGAGAGATTGAAGGCTCAGAGGCACATTTGGACTCTATCAAGGCTAGAAAATAGGGTTTGAACATCTCCCGCCAAATATGACAATAGTACTCCATTTTTGGCCTGATCTGGTTCTTGTAAAGGTGAAAGATAGCAGCAGGAGTCAGGTACTTACCAGAGCGGTACAAAGAGCTGATCATTTTACCTGCATCCTTAGCAATGGACCGTATGTCCGAGTTCCACTTGATATCGGGTGTGAGTTTGAGGCCCAACAGTCTTTCAAGGCATGGTGCTTCTCCGAGAGGACCTCCGTTCATCCTGATTGTTGGTAGTTCGGAGTCAGATCGGCAAGGGGGAAGATTGCACGCCCGTGTTCTTGCAGCAGTTGAATAACTTTGCTAGGATTGGGGATAACTTTGGATTGATATTCTTAAGAACAACCATTGGAATTTTGTCTGGGCCAGTGGCTTTCTTAGAATCAAGGCCTTTGATAAGTCTCTAGACTTCTCGTGCTGTAATAGTATTATTACTGAGATTGTGCTCCGTGAGACGCCAGAAGTTGGGAAGGGATGGTCTTTGTCGTCATATGTCGAGTTAGAGGCAAATATAGAGGCGAAGAATTTCGCCTTATCTGTCATGGAAGATATGACCTCAGGGCCATTTATAATTGTGGGTACAGCCGCTTTACATCTGTTCATGTTCATCTGTTGGTGATATTCCACAATTCACGGGATCCAATCTGTTTCTTTTCAACCTTGGTCTGGACTGGTCGTACGTAGTTGCACTTGGCGTTTTCTAGAACTTTTTTTTGCAGTGATTGCTGTTCCGAATGCAGTGAGGGCCGAACTACACCGCTCTTTGCGGTAGTTAGTGAAGTAGTGGTTTCGTTGAGTTATGGTTGCAGCGCATTCAGGAGTGAACTAGGGTTGACTGATTTTTGTTGGAATTTTTATTTTTATTTTTTTGCGTATAAAACTCTCTATTCAAGAATTGTCAAATGAATCGCACCTGTGAACCAATCAGAAAGTAAAAGACAATTCTGTTATGAATTCCTTTGTCTCGGAAAAGTGTATAAAGACAGAGACGATCAGATAAAGGAACCAAAGAGTCGATGAAATAATTTCGTCCGTTCTCCCATGCCCTGTATTATCTGAATACTTAAATTCCGCAGAGAATCGAAACGATGACTACTACTAACGAAATACATACATATATAAATACATATATATATATATTAACATTACAAGGACTTTCTCTTATGCTAAAGGACTTAGACGCTCAACACAAGAACTTTCTGACATGAACTTATGAACACTCTAAATGTTGTATTTTAAGTTTAACTGTTTAAGAGATATAAAAATAAAATTTTAACAGTACATGCAAAATATATCTATATATTAATTATATTTGCATTTATTTTTAATACGCTAAAAATTGATGTCTTGGGATTAAGGACGTTTTCCGAAGATAACCACTTGTAAAACCCACAAAACACCAAAAGCCATATTAAATCCCAAATCATATATCCCGCACAAGTGTAAACCAATAACCAACTAATAATCATCAATACCATATTGCAATGGAGTGTTGATAGGGATGGATGGTTTGTAGATGTCTGTTTACGGCTGCGTGAATAACATTGTGGACTCTTCTAGTATTCTAACCTTCTCTAACCTTAAAAAGGCACAGTCCACATCGTACGCCTACGTACAGAAAAACCTCAACCAATAGAAATGGCAAGAATCGAACCAAGCAATTCCATTGGTCAATCGTCTTCTGAAACAAGAATTGCGCCAAAACGACTTGAGCCACTTTTGAAAACCCAAGTGTTATATAAAGAAAAATCAGACAGCCCCTTTCAGTGGAAGCGGAGCAGCAGAGTAGCTGTAATTACCAACCTTCAAGATGTAACATTTCACTGACTCCCGTCTTAGTCATCGCTGACCAGACGATAAAGAAAATTACCAGCCCCATTCAGTCAGTCTAGCAAATTCACCGAGCAATTGCCTAAATACTCCACGACGTTTGGAAAAACAATCTTGCCACGCTTTTCAAAGAACACTCACTGACTCACTTTGAACATTCAACGAACGACTCTCGAAACTTTCCACTAAATTTCTTATACATATTGATTTATAATCATTACAAAAATAAGAAATACGATACAAACACAAACACGTTCAAAGGTAGACTACTTCGACAAACTCTTAAATCTTATTACTCCAATATTTGATACAAACAAGAAAATAGCAAACATAACGACACAGAGACATCAAACATTCCAGCAACACATACAATTTACGCACGCATTAATACACATATTGTTCAAGTTTGTAAATGTTTAATTGTATATAAATGCTTTATTGTTTTGATCTATATATGTCTCGTTTTTTCCTTGTTTGAAATCTCACGCTTGTTTGTATATTTGTTTGGGACACGGTTAGACACGCAACCGATAATAACAAAAATCCTTCTGATAAATCAAATGACCCAAAAGTCCCAACAACATGACCACACAATTGATATTTGACGTAAAATATGTAGAGGACCGTCTCGGCGATATTGAGTAGAAGCAGAAGAACACACGTGAGTTAAGATTTTCCTGCTAGCCGGTCCAACTACATAAGAAAGATGGACTTTAATAAAGTCCAAAGCAGGCAAAGAAAAACAAACACAAGACCGATAAATATATGTAAACAAATATATGTATTAATAACAAGAAAGGTTACAAGTTACATGGACAGAGTCCGTGTGGTGAATATTATATGTGTGTGTGCGTGTGGTGAGTGTTCGTGCGTACGTATATTGTTCTTAGCGCGTTCCCAGCATTTGGGAAACGCTGTATCTGTGAGCGTTCACATCTGCGAGGTGGTATAAGTCTGAAGCCCGAGGAAAAGAGGAAGACGCGAAGGGCCAGTGAGTATTTATAGCCAGGGGAGAGAGACCCCTGGTGAAAGGGTTAAGGAGCTAAGGAGGAGCTAACTCCAACAAATACCACAAAACATGAAATACAAGAAGGAACTAAAATGATTTAAAAAAAAAAGAATAACATTTGTATTTATTTGTGTATATTGATGTACATGCGTAGAAGTTAAAGATCTGTGGGTGTTATGTCTCTTAGACTGTGAATATTTGTATCTGAACTCACAAAAGTTGAATTAATTACAAAGCTGAGAAATGATGAATAAACTCTAGCTTTAGAAGAATGTTTCAAAGAGAAGAGTTTTTGTTGCTTGTTTGGAAATGTTCTGTATGTTTGTAATATAGTTTGGAAAAGTTCGTACGTACGTGCGTGCTTTTAACATCTGACCGTCCATGGCCGAGACGAGAATCCTTTTGAGACTACATCTTGCAGCGAGAAGAGAGAGAGAGAGAGAGAAAAAAAGAGATAACAGCAAACTATTTATAGATAATGTAATCACGTGACAGGATCACAGTAAATTGGCGGGAAACTTGACTTGGTCACGCGCTGGAAAAAATATTTGTACGTGGGTGGATTGCAACGCCCACTTGTGTGTTTATTGACCAATTAGAGGCTGATATTTCCTGAAAATATTTATGTGATGTACAAAGTTAGAATTTCAAGTTCTTTAGCATGAAATAACTTCAATGTAATTTAAGCTAAAATTTCAACTAAACAACTCACCAATTTCTTCTGGAACTTACTAAAAACTATTCAATCACACTATTGAATCTTACGAAACTTAAATTACAAACATTACGAACAATACATTTAACTACGAGCAACGAAAACAAATTAAACATTACGGAACATTCACTACTCAAACTTCTTTAAGGCTAAAAGTTTATCAACATATTTTCAGCTTTACAGAATTTTTTAAAGTCTCTTTCAGTGGATATTTCGAGCGACAAGTTAATTCAAATTTTTATGAGCTCAGGTAAAAAAATGTGATTAGCAAAGACTTTAATTCAGTAACTCCTATTAACAATTCATGTAAAACCGTTGACATACCTGTTATGAAAAGTTATTTTCTCGTGTTCTTTCTCTTGTTTGCTTTTCGTTTGCTTACACATTCGTAAAGTAAAAATGTACGGGTTGAATTAGGCCGTCAATACCGCTACAGTGGAGTTGCATACGATTTAGTTAGAGAAGTACATTTCATTATAAACGATTGACCTCTTCTCCTCCTCTCTTCCCCCGTCTCCTCTCCCTCACTCCCTCCTTTACTCCACTGGGGCATATGGGGGCCACCTCTCTCAACAACACTAGGGATTGCTACTGTTGTTTCCATAAGTAAAGTTTTACGAGATGAAATTGCAAGAGCTCGAATACCTAACCGTTTTTCACTTACAGTACCCGGTGTTTCCAAGCGGAACTCCATCTAACTACAAAAAAATGGTTCGCCTCAGCTTTAACTCTGGTGATTAAATGAAAACATGTGTTTCAGCTTGATTTGACCATAAGCTATAAAAAAACGAGTTCCTTATCGCCGTCGTCGTCGTTGTGTACTTCAGGACTACAACTACATTAACGAACAGGACTTAAACCCTTGATATAATAATTTTACGATTTTTAAACGGGATAGCATAAATTTAAATCTATTAAAATATTTATCTGGTTGGAAGGAAAATTCTCGTAATTTGTAAAACATTCAATTTATTTGGATACCACGAGAATTTTCCTTGAATGCAAGTCGATGAAAATATTTTAAAACCTACAAGGGACATAACTCTAAAAAATATATTTGATAATATTGAATTATTTCCCTTCAAATACAAATTAACGTAACGGTTACAAAAATGAAAAACGAAATCAGCAACGCATGTTCAAATCTCGGCAGAGGTTTTGTTGTATTTCACTGTTGTATCATCTTTTACGTTTACTGCCCGCTGAATATTTGATGTTACTCGTTGTAAGAAATTTAAGCTGCTTGAGCGTGTATCGTCTTCTTTTATGAGAGAAAACAGACGCAGTGTTGGTCTCTTGCTTAAATTAAACTTTTGAATTTCAAAATATCTTGGTACATTTCGATTTGTGGGGAAATAACTGCGTTTGGTTTTAATTCGGAACCAATCAAAAGGTTTCCCTCCAAGTTCCGAAAAACAAAATCTGGAACCTATCTTGGTGAATAAAAGCAGAAACAGGATTGAATTCAAGGAGTCGATGAACAGCTGCTACACAGGAACCCAGGTCGGCCCGGTCAAGGAAAAAACAGCACAGAAGAAACTTGTCGGTCACCAGACGAGAATTTGAAAAGAACATCAATGTCGCTCCACTAAAATATCAAATACAATATTTATAAACCAATCACACCCAAGAAAACACTTACATCTTAAAACACACCAATAAAATCATAGATTACAAATCAGAATATTTATTGTATTAGTCATCATTATTTTTAGGTATATACCAACCAAATATCGTACGGACGTAGTAGAAGACATACCACGTGACCTTTTTAGGGCCAATTAGGAATAAATAAATAATTCAATTCTGGACCCGATTTTGTTCGGAAAAAGTGTATAAAAACATACGAAATCCGTCCCCAAAACAAATATACACGCGGCTCTCACCAAACTACACACATCTCTCGCTGATGACCTTCATGACCTCATGTTAAAAACGACAGCGTTGACAAACTCCAGATCACGGCAACACCGCCAACAGTAAGAAACAATTCGTATCTCTCGTATCCGTTTTTACTATGAATCACGTACACATGTTGACTTTTTCATACAAAAACACATATATCAACATTTTATTGTTTCTCACACACGTACACAAAGACAGTTTATATTTTATTTCAGAACTTTATCAACCCAAACAAAAGACATTACTTTCCAATCTATTATCAACTTTTTGTATTCTTATCGTTATATTAAATTAATGTTTATTTGTTGAAACTACGTTGTCTTTTCTACTGAATTTTATTCCTTCAATGAAAAGCGTTTGATTATTCTAGACGGCCAAATTACGAGCGACCCTGTAACGATATTTTGTTAATGTACTGAATCCCGACACTTCAAATTTTAACATTCAACGTAAAACCGAGTAGAAGGATTCCTACAAATGGTGACTACGACTCTATTACCTTGTGAAAACACGAAAGTTGGTAAGTAGAACATACAAATATACGTATTTAAAAAAAATACAAATTAAAAAAAAAAAATGGAACAACAAAACACAAATAGTACGGAAGCTTCGTTGACAACAGCCACCCTGAATTTACCTGCCTATAACCCTAACAACATAAAATCATGGTTTATACAAATGCAGGCCATATTCAACGGGAAGAAATTTGTTTCGCAAAGATCCCGATACTGTTATTTAGTAGAAAAACTTCCAACAGAAGTTGTAGAAGTAGTGACGGACTTACTGGAAACAATGCCAGAAGAAAACCCCTACGATAGATTAAAAACGCCCATAATTAAACGAACTGGAATTTCGAATGAGACAATGCTGCGCGATTTGTTTACCCGAGTGGAACTAGGTGACCTGACTCCTTCCCAGTTATTAAGACATATGAAAACTCTGTTAGGTACTAATGTTATGGCAGAAAATATTCTACGGAGATTGTGGTTGGACAAACTACCCAGCACAATGACGCAAATTTTAGCACCCATGACAGAGGAAACTGAACTGGATAAACTTGCGGATTCTGCTGACTGAATCCATGTTGGTTTTAGAGACAGGGAGGTGAACACATTGACACCGCAACGTACAAACCAACAACAAAACGAACAAATTGAGAAACTGCAAGCAACGGTTGCAAGTTTAGCCAAACAGATGCAGTCTATCTTGAACCTACATCAACAACAACGAACTTCTCGTAATACTACCTGACCTAAGTACAGACGAAGGAGTAACAGCAGGAGTTTCAGCGGTGATAGAGGAAGACGAAAATTCGATATCTGCTACTATCATTATGGTGCAGAGGCAAGACGCTGTTTGAAACCTTGTGCCTTTGTAGACCCAGCATCGGAAAACTTAAATTCAGCCAGTAGAGACGACGACTGTTGCTGGACTCTCACAAAAAAGGTCGTCTCTTCTATATCTTTGATAGAAATCACGGATATAATTTTTATAGACACCGGGGCTGAAGTGAGTGTTTTACCGCCGGATCCAAAGCAAAATTTAAAACCAGGACTCTACAAACTTCAAGCTGCTAACGGTACAAAATTGATACCTTTGGCGAGAAAGCAGTAACCATCGACCTGGGTATGCGGCGAAATTTTCTGTGGGTTTTTACTCAAGCTAATGTTACCACACCAATATTAGGTGCAGACTTTCTAGCTAAATTTAATTTATCGGTTAACATGGCCACTCATTCCTTAGTTGACAATCTGACAGAACTTTCTGTGAGAGGAATTTTTTCCCGATACCAGTAAACTGGAATTAGTTCTGCCTTACCACAAGTTAGCGGTATTAAGGAATTAATACAGAAATACGCGGAAATCACTCAACCTTTTAACACAGACACAATTAAGCACAATGCCAAACACTACATAAAAACAACAGGACAACCGGTACACTCTACACCGAGGCGATTAAAACTGGACAAATATAAAATAGCCAAGGCAGAGTTTCAGCAAATGCGACAGTTGGGAATCATACGTCCTTCCAAGAGCGCATGGTCATCACCATTGCACATGGTCCAAAAATCCAACACGACAGCATGGCGTCCATGTGGCGGTTTCCGCAGATTGAACGCCCAAACCATCCCTGACAGATACCCAATTCCGCATATACATGATTATGCAATGGGTCTCCAAGGTGCACGCATTTTCTCGAAATTAGACCTGGTAAAGGCATATTACCAAGTACCAGTTGCCGAAGAGGACATCCACAAAACTTCTCTGACGGTACCTTTCGGATTATACGAGTTCGTGCGAATGCCTTTTGGGTTACGTAACACCGCTCAAACCTCCCAGAGACTAATCGATGAGGTATTTAGAGGTTTACCTTTCATATATGCCTACATAGACGATGTTTTAATCGCCAGCAAAAACCGAGAAGAACAAAAACTGCATTTGGAACAAGCTTTCCAATGACTTTCGCATTTTGGACTCAAAATCAATGTCCACAAGTGTGTTTTTGGAGAAACAAAAATAAATTTCCTCGGACATGAAATTGACCACGAAGGTATTTCACCTTTACCAGACAAATTGGAAGCTATTACCAATTTTCCGCAACCAACGTCACTAAGACAATTGCGAAGATTTATAGGCCTTATCAATTATTACAGGAGATTTATACCTAATCGTTCAGCGGTACTGTCACCTTTGACAAACCTACTAAAGAAAAAGAACAAAAAATTATGTTACAGGAAGACACTCTAGAAGCATTCAATAATGCCAAAACAGCTTTAGCTAACTTTACTAAGCTGAATTACATCAAGGATAGCGAGAAAATTAAGCTTGCCTTCACAACAGATGCTTCATCAACAGCTGTAGGTGCGGTTTTACACCAAATCTTGAACAAACATGTCACACCTATATCTTTCTTCTCCGCTAAACTAAATAAAGCACAAACTAAATACAGCACATTTTCGAGAGAGTTATTAGCAATATATCTTTCTATTAAACATTTTCAGCACCTCCTGAAGGGCAGAGATTTCATCATATACACAGACCATAAACCATTAATATATGCATTACACACACATACTGACAAATATAATCCTCGGGAAATCAGACACCTAGATTACATTTCCCAATTCTCTTCAGATATCAGATATGTAACAGGTCAAGAAAACATAGTGGCAGATGCATTATCACGTGCCACAATTGCTTCTTTAGATTCTAGTTATTTGAACCTCGAATTAATCGTTAAAGAACAAACCACAGACACTACATTCCAAGAAGTACAACAAAGCACATCACTAAAATTAGTTGAACTACCTGTTCCATTCAGTGATACTAAATTTTATTGTGACATTTCACAAACTCAACCACGACCTTACATACCACCAAATTTGAGACAGCAAGTATTCCAACATTTCCATACATTGTCTCACCCAGGAAAACGTACAACTGTGAAGTTAATTACTGAACGTTTTGTATGGCCAAATATGTCAACTGACATAAGAAAGTGGACAAAATCTTGTTTATCACACCAGAAGAACAAGATAAATAAGCACACCAAATCACACGCAGGCACATTCAGCACACCTGATGCAAGATTCACGAACATACACGTTGATATTGTAGGACCTTTACCTTGTTCTCAAGGATATACATATATCCTTACTATCATAGATAAGTTTACTCGCTGGCCTGCTGCAATAGCAATCAAAGACATTACAGCCACAACAATAGCTAAAACTATCCTAACTGAATGGATCGCAATATTTGGTGTACCTTCAGTAATCACAACGCACAGAGGAGCTCAGTTCCAGTCTACATTATTTAGAGAGTTCAATCACCTACTCGGAACTCGACACATAAAAACTACAGCCTATCATCCTTGTGCAAACGGAATGATAGAACGTTTCCACAGACAGTTGAAGACAGCTCTAGCAATGAAACAAAACAAAACTAATTGGCTAGAAAACTTACCACTGGTATTTTTATCAATCAGAAACATTGTAAAAGAGGATTTGGGTGGTACACCAGCTGAAATGGTTTTCGGCACATCACTGACTCTACCTGGTCAATACTGTGATGACAAACGAACATTTTACCGACAACAACGTTTTACAGGAATTAAAACATAGAAGTCATCATTAAAACCAAACGGAAAGTTTATACCAAATGACTTAAATATTTATAAGAAATGTAAAAAAACCTTTATGTTCAAATACACAGGTCCATACCAAGTTATTAACAGAAAGGACAGGTATTTCACCATCATGAAAAATGGACAACATGACAATATTGCTATCGATCAGATTAAACCCGCTTATGTCGATAACCAATTCTCACAGCAACTACAAAAAGAAAAACATGAGCATTCAGGCTCAAATATCACACAAAAGACGAATGAACAAACATCCAACAAAACAAATGACACCTCACCAGAGACAATAGCAGAGAAGAATGTTACAACAAGATCTGGGAGACACGTGCATTGGCCAAAACATTACAAAACATATCTGAGATATTAAATAATTGTTTTCCTACATATCATTAGAAATAAATTTCTAATGATCTGGGGGGGCTTTATCGTGTCCACTAAAATATCAAATACAATATTTATAAACCAATCACACTCAAGAAAAACTTACATCTTAAAAACACCAAAAAAATCATAGATTACAAATCAGAATGTTTGTTGTATTAGTCATCATTATTTTTAGATATATACCGACCAAATATCGTACGGACGTAGTAGAAGACATACCACGTGACCTTTTTAGGGCCAATTAGGAATAAATAAATAATTTAATTCTGGAGCCGATTTTGTTCGGAAAAAGTGTATAAAAACATACGAAATCCGTTCACAAAACAATATACACGCGGCTCTCACCAAACTACACACACCTCTCGCTGATGACCTTCATGACCTCATATTAAAAACGACAGAGTTGACAAACTCCAGACCACGGCAATACCGCCAACAGTAAGAAACAATTCGTATCTCTCGTATCCGTTTTTACTATGAATCACGCACACACATGTTGACTTTTTCATACAAACACACATATCACAACATTTTATTTTTTTCTCACACACGTACACAAAGGCAGTTTATATTTTATTTCAGAACTTTATCAACCCAAACAAAAGACATTACTTTCCAATCTATTATCAACTTTTTGTATTCTTATCGTTATATTAAATTAATGTTTATTTGTTAAAACTACGTTGTCTTTTCTACTGAATTTTATTCCTTCAAGGAAAAGCGTTTGATTATTCTAGACGGCCAAATTACGAGCGACCATGAAACGATATTTTGTTAATGTATTGAATCCCGACACTCCAAATTTTAACATTCAACGAAAGGAAAAGCTTCATCTAATATTTTATTCATCATATATGACCACAGGATGCTTGACTGATAATATAAGGTCTCAAATGAAAGATATCTATTTTCCACTTTATTGAAATTATAACCTTTGCATCACATATAATACCCAGAGAGTAGTGTAAATAACTTATGATATGTACGTTCTGTGCGTCACATGTAATACATCCATTTTTATTACAGGTGTAACAGCAAAATTGTTCAAATCATTTAACAGCATGACTATCCATACCACAAAATGTTTAATATCTAAAAAAAACACTAAACTAATTGAGCTACTTTTTCCAGGTTTTCAGATAAGATGTTTAGCTATCTTGATACCATTTTTCGTAAGAATCACTGAAAATCCCTTTGAATTATTCAATTAGAAAAAGAACAGGTTAAAATCGTTTTGTGTCAGCCCCAATGTCTTTTTAAATGAGCAATGGTGAGAGGAAAAAGATCACTCAGGCCTTCATTAATGGTACCAACAGTCATACTCTTGCTTCCATTCAAAGTCCATTCAAAAACCATCAAGAGAACGGCAAATAAATTTAAAAAAGGGAACAATAGAGAGGAAATTGGATCAGGAGGTCACAACAGGAAGAAGGATCATAATTTCAACTTAGAGCTAAAGAAATCAATTAGAAAAGATCCAACTCAATCCATAAGACGTTTGACACGTGAGAGAGGAGTTTCACCTATGACAGTTCAAAGAGCAGTGGAAAATACTTGGAAATGAAATCGTACGTGAAACCTGTGAAACTTTTCTGAATTTATAAACACGGCCATGTGCTGTTAAGGGTAGCTCTGTTTATTTAATTAGAAGTTATTCTCATCTATTCAAACATTTTTTACAAGTCTTCTTCTATGTGCCGTGTCTCAACAAGAAGTGGGCGATCATGTCTCTCCACAATTTCCTTTCCTTTGTAGCTCTTAGTATATTTGTCTTTTTCTATCTCTTCTAATCCCTATTCTGACAACCATATATGCGCTGCTTTCCTTTGAGTGCCAAATTTCCTAAGCTCACTTTTCTGTGTACCCATTGTGCTTCTTTTTGATTTTATGCATAAGTGTCTTTTATCTTTTCAATTTCCCCATAAATTCCTTGTTACTCTGTCCATAGTATTCTCAGCATCCTTCTGTAGAACCACATTTCTGTTGCCTCAAGATTCTTCTTAATCTCTGAGGAAATTATCCACCATTCGCTGCCATATAAGAAAACCGATATTACATAACAATTCAGTATACTTCTTATCTACAGTGATTTTTCTTATGGACAAAGAGAGTTGGGAGTGAGTATATATATATATATATATATAGATAGGTGAAGTGTGAATGAAAGGTTTGTCATTTGATTGATGTAACCTTCTACATCCCAACTTCAAAGCTTCGTAGACGGACTATCCAGGAATCACTCCGTCCACTCGTCAGGGGTTATCAGCAATTGACTACTTATACTTCTTGATTTTCCTTTTTTATATGCACTTTTTATTGATGCAAGTTTTTTTTTCATAGTGTATGTGTACGTTTATAGTGTGTGTGTGTGCGTTTGCGTGTGTGTGCCCATGCTTCTGTCTGCGCATATTTGCGTATGTGTAGAATGCCGTGTTTATTTGTCCTTTTCGTCGTATTTTTCACTTTACACTTACTCCTTATTGTTGTTTTTTTTACCTTTTTCTATTTTCCCCTCTTTTCTTTCAATTGTAGCCATTTCGACTTCCGTTTTTCTAGACATTGTCAGACCACCCTGTTTAGTTCCTGATGATACAGATCTATATTTAATTAACCGATTCGTTTTCTACGGTTTATCAACCCTTTCAGAATTTATTTAAAGCCAGAAAATATTCTAAAACTGGAATTTTGGGGGAGATAATAATGGTTTAGCGATACAAGTCTTAATAACTAACCTATTGCTGGGGACACAATAGGTGGATTAATACCTTTTCCAAATTACGAACTCAACGGAAATTGGAAATCGGCTCTCTAATTAACAAAGCAAGCCATTATCCATTACGCCACCCGAACATCCAAGGTTTCAGCACCTGGTATTCCCAAGCGGTTACCCATCTAGGTACTGACGTTGCTTAACTTTGGCGATCGTACGGGAACCGGTGCTACAACCTGAGCCAGATGTATATTTAAGTCTTTATAAGCATCTAAAGTGTCCAACTCGTTCGATTGTGGCCCAATCAGTATCCGAAGTTTTTGTAAATAATTGGATTACGCGTTTTTGAACTTTAGTGCTTCTTATGACGGGAAGTCAATCTGAAAATGTGTGCTTTATAGAAGTAATAAAGATTGTTGTTTTCATCGATTGAGAACAATAGTTTATCACTGATAGTGTAATGCTTTGATCGAAAGAGCACATGGAACAATTAAAACAGCAATTAGATATCGTCAATAAATATGGCTATCAGCAGTGCTAATTGTTCTGCTCGGCGTACGTACGCTGACTTCTCAACTGGCTTCTCAACATTAAATAGTGATTATCTGATGCAGATGGAGACTATTAGGAGTCTAACAGACCGCGGAGAGGGAGGCTTTTATCCTTTTGAGGAAAATTGCCCGATCCTATTAAGACATCCCGTTTATTAAGACACTCCTATTTATTGCTTATTGTGAAAATCCAGACACCCCAATTATTAAAACTCTGGTATATTAGACACCCAAGAGTAATTAAGTACTCATTTTATTAAGAACTAGCCGAATTACCTGCGCCTTGCTGCGTGTCACACATATTTTCTATAGGAAAATGATGATTGATTTTAAATCATTGTTATAATTTGTGGAGAAAAATGATGCATTTCAATATTACTTAATGATGACCTCCTTTTTCTGGCTTTCACCTTCTATATTTTGGATAGGAATCATTCTCTTGTTCAAATTTATATTTAATTTAAATCAAAGAGAAAAAAATGGGGTTCTGTGCAAAAACATATTGATCTCTTCCCTTTGATATGTATTTAATATAATACTTGATTGAATGAATTGATGAGCAGATTTCAGTTGAATTGTCGCAACAAATATGTATTGTAACGCACTACCCACTGATTGGTGATTTGCTCAACTTGACGTCCATATTGGGTCACTTTGATCTTGCCGATATGACCTATATCTTCTGGCTTTCTCCTCCTATATTTTTGATAGGAATCATTCCCTTGTTCAAATTTAAATTTAATTTAAATCAAAGGGGGAAAAAATTCCGTAGGCGGTTTGTCTCCTCCAACCTGAAGACCTGCTTTGATCAAAATTAAATATACTTATCCGAGTACGGCAGGAGACATTCCCTTGTTAAATTTAAATTTTATTTAAATCAAAGCGGAAAAAATTTTTCATTGGGGGTTTCTGCCCTCCAGGACTCCCTTTGATCAAATTGATCTTACCGATGTCACTTCCATCTGGCTTTCTCCTATATTTTGGATAGGAGTCATTTCTTTGTTCAAGGGAAAGGGAAAATTTTTTCAGTGTGTGTAGGGTGTATGCCTACTATCGCTGATCCACTTTGATCAAAATGAAACATACTTATCCAAGTATCCTGGGTAATGTAGTTTCAGAATATATATGGTTATGGCGGCCTGTCTCCAAAAACCTAGAAGGAGTTCGATAACAGACAGACGGACAGAGACTATAACTTTCTATATATAGATTCGTCTTGAACACGTAATGCCGCAGGTTTTTCATGTTTTGTACTTTATCTGGTTCCTCAACTTTAAATCCTTAAGTATTGATCACCTGTTGCAGATGGAGAGTCGTAAAAGCCTAACAGACGGTCGATACGGAGGAGTTTTCCTTTTGAGAAAATGTTCCGACCCCACTCCCGATCTTTTTAAGACCCCCTCCCCGTTTATTAAGAACGTTCTGTTTATTGATATTGAGAAAAATCCCAACACACGAAATATTAAGACTCCTTTATATTAGACGCCCAATAAATAATAATTTTATTAGGAATTCGTCTTGAAGCATGGCACAATTGGATCTCAAAGATCTTTCAAAAAGGAATTCTCTTGCTTTAAATGAGATTTACGTTCCATATAAACTTATGTTTTGTGATAAAATTTAGAAGCGTCTTACGCAGACCATACAAAGTTTTATAGATTTAGTTGCTTAGTGGATTTTATGATATATAAATCCCTGTTGGGTTATTTAACCCTGCGTTAGTGACCACGGATTTCCGAAAATAGATAGTCCCTTAACGTCTACCTCCCACGACAATTGTGCCACACCGCATGCACATCCCCACCAACCACTATTGAGCCAGGAGAGTGGTGGGAGGGAGCAAAAAATACAAGTTATCAACTAGGAATTATGAGTACTTTAAAAATTTTTGGTTAACAAAACACCCCATGTGACTAAGGCAAGATTAATATCGAAATCTGTTTTTGATATTTAAAAAAAGTAATATTTTATTCTATAGTCTGATGTAAGTTTTATATTTTATTTTATATCATATTTTATAACCTATTATATTTTATATCATCATACTTATTATAAAACCCAGGTTTTGTTTGTTTGTTTGTTTGTTGTGTGTGTGTGTGTGTGTGTGTGTGTGTGTCTGTCTGTCTGTCTGTCTGTTCGTTTATATATTGGATCGGATTTTCTACATTTTTCAACCGATTTCAACTAAACTTCACTTTTTTTTGGCAGGTAGTGTTTCTTATTGTCTTGCACACTTTTATCTTTATTTTTACATTCAGAATGCTTTAAAAATTCCATTTACAAGACAATTGTTTATAATAAAATTCTATTCAATCGGTAGACTCATAACGATTGAAAACAATGTTTTTGTTTGAGTTTGGGTTTGACCAATTCGTTAAAAAAAAAGAAAAAAAAAACTAATTAAGACATGCGTGTCCGTCAACCTTAAACAATAATCTTTGTCAATTTTATTTTTCAGTCTTTATGATAGTCTATACTTGATCTATCTCTTACTGTTACATCCCCGGGCAACGCCGGGCTCTATATTTTATATTAGTTTTATTCTATAGGCAGATTATACTTAAATCTATAGACATAAGTTGTCCATACTCCAGTTTGCAAATATCCACCAGGTAGATGTCTCAACTGGGAGGGTGTTATCCTTCTATATTGATTATTCACTCGGCGTATTCTGGGCCTTTCTGACGTGCAAGTTTTACAGAAGACACTAAAAGATTTCCTTAGTGAGAAGAATGATAATATAGATAAATGTTTTTCAACCTTTTTTTTTTTAATCTCACGGCACACCTATAGTTTAACTTGCGTGGCATACTTAAATTATCATAATCAAAATGACCTAACTACTTCAGGCACAATTCAAGACTTGCACAATGTTGGGTTCCTGAGTCATTCTCGAAATCAACATTAGATTATTTTCCACATATATCGACGCTCATTGCTAAATGCCTTGTCGAATCGCACATATCTATGGACGTGTCGGGCGAACACATTTCGCACAATCCACCCACTTTATATATTATGAATACGTTTATTTATTATAACAGTAATATACTCATATAATAAATTTAAAAGGTTTTTAATTTTGATATATACACTTATTATGCTCTGGACTTCTTTCGAAAATAATTTAATTAATGACCTTTTTAAAAAAAATTGCAGCACAGCTACGATCCTTTTACGGCATACCGGTTGAAAATTACTGATCTAGATTATAAAGTATCCGCAGGCATACTGAAACCTTACGTTGAATAGATTCCTTCATAAGGATAAACATTCTGTAGATAGTTTTTGTTTTGAATCATTTCAAGCAAGACGATAATGCCACTAAGACGCAGGGTTACCTGGCAGTGAAAGAGAATGAGAAGATTTTAGAAGGACCCGATCCCCAATCCTAAACAGAAAACAAGTGATAGGCCTCTACTACTATTAAAAAAAAAACCGTAGAGGATTTTATGTATAAATAAAAAACCGAACGGTAGAATTTTATGTACAAATAATAGACATACCGGTGTTAAGACAAACAGGTGATAAAAGTTATAATATACTTTGTTATTCGGTCCAGAATGCTCATTTTGACTGTTATACTCACGAAGTTTCAGGTGTTGTACTCTCTGGCCTTCTTCAGGCATATGTCTTCTTACTTAGTAACTTTCTTGAAATTTCGAACAGAACCCTTTATTCAATATACAGGAGTATATTGTTTTTATCACACTCTCTATATTAAAGAGAGATAACTCATATTCGCCTTTATGTTGCTTGTTTATTTCTTCCACTGATCCAGAGTATATCACTTTTCAGCAATACCATACCCAGAGATTAAAGTCACAGCTACCAGGGGACCAGATATATCTTAACCAACGCTTCAGTCCAAGATCATGTATATTGGAAAAAGTAAAATAAAATAAAATAAAAAATAAAAATAAATAAAGAAAACCCGGGATCTTAAACCTAATGTTTTGTACTCATGTATGAGAATCTTATGTGGTAAATATTTTTAGTGTCCTTTCTTGCTTAATCAAAGACTCCCAAATAGAATTCATCTTTATGCCTAACAGGTGCGTTGATTTTTCGGTCGTCTTATCCCCCAGCGTTATTCAATCTGCGCTTCATCCCACAATGGTTGATGACCACACGTTTGCATCCATGTATCATATGGTTGATTTCATTGTCACTCACTGGACAATAGCTTTTCGATGTTCTTTCGCCTTTATTTTTAGAGGGTGGTTAGTTTATCTTTTGTATTCTTTGGTACAACTACATGAGTTGGAATATGCCCAGTTCTTGGACATGTTTACTTCCGGTTGGGAACGGGCGTTTGGTTTGTAAGAGATATGCTTTTTAAATCATTTTATTCCAAGCAAAGCAGTAATGCCAATAAGACACAAGGAGTTACTGGGAATAAAAGAGAATGAAAAGACTTTAGAAGGAACTGGAAACCCAATCCTAAACAGAAAACAAGCGATAAAGCTCGACTCCTGTTCAGTAGATGGGGTAATTTGTGAACCGGGCGATATATTTGAAGGGTTGAAAATTTCAATACAGTCTTGGTGTTGTATGAACCGAAGATCCTTTGAATCTTTTCAAATATACCCTTATGTATGACCATCATAGATTTTTATTTATACACTCACCTATTACTCACCAAACTCCAGGTAGGTCTTGCCACATATCGAGGTATTCTGTTAGCATAAGTAGCGAGATTGTATTCATTGCCGGCTTGCTAGGCTAGTCGGGTATCTTACGGCGCCTGATATTCCCCAGCGGTCACCCATCTGAGTACTGATCTGGTTAAACGTTGCTTAACTTCGGTGATCGAACGAGAACTGATATTTCAACTTGATATGAACGTGGCTGATTGTTATCCGTAACTCTTATGTCTCTTCTAGTGGAAGTTAATTTTATATTTTCAAGGTAGCTATTACCATCCTGATCATTTGACCATATATGGTAAGCAACACCTCCCCCTTTTATGGATGATGCGTTGATCTATTCATTTTCTACGGTTTATCAACCCTTACGGCTATTTAAACCTAGATTTTTTTTTACATTGTAAACATTTTTTATTTTGGAGATAATAATGGATACAAATATTACTAATTAACCTATAGATGGGCACGCAAAAGGTGCATTCATACCTTTCCTAAGAGTATTAGTTCATAAGTGAATATAACGGACCCAACTGGAATTGGAACTCGGGTCTGCGATTAACAATTTCGAGCCATTATCCTTTACACCACCCACACATCCAAGTTTACAGCACCTGGTATTCCTAAGCGGTTACCCATCTAGGTACTGGCCAAGTTCGACGTTGCTTAACTTCAGTTATCGTACCTGAACCGGGTTTTTTTTCTACGTGATGCAGCCTTAAGCCGGGAGGATGGGAAATAAGGTTAATATATTGTCCGGTGAATGTTGGTTTATCATATACGGCTGTTTTCAATCCATACGCTGTTCGAGTCATTATGAAGGCCAGTTGATGTTCTACTTCTTCTACGAAAGGTTTTACGAAGTTCACAGAGTCCAGTCGTATTTGCATATTTTCGTGGTGGGATTTAGAGTATGAAGGCGTTATCTATGTACCTAAGTAACATGGTTGGTTTTTGTGATGACATTTCTATAACCATTTCATCGAAAAAGTATTGCCTCAAAGCAAATGTTAAATTACAGTTCTACATGATATTCAGTTGTCCCATCCAAGGCTTATAATCGGCTTTTGATCGGCAACAAAGCGTAGTATTTGTTTTCTGCTCATTGAAGAAGACAT